AATCTTCGAACAGTTTTCGGCTATAATAAGAAAGAGTAAAATGAATTTATGAAACTTGTTCTAAAATTACTGAAGGCTGTTGATCACATGACGCTGTATTGGAACGAGTATATCTCATTTGCTATTGTATCACACTACTGTTTTAGACAAGATATTTACATCGCTTAAATTTAAGAAAGAATGAGTAGAACGTAAACCACGTTTTCTTTTAAGTACACGAACCATCCTAACCTCATTTGCCAACTGCTTTCCAAGCATCATCTGTAAAAAAACCTCTTCAATTTTTCAAATTTGAAAATTTTCAGCTAAAACCGCGGCACTCAAAAAATATCTCTCATCTTGCCTAAAAAATTTTAAAAAGAAATTTTCAAATTTTCACAATTTTGCCTATTCCTGCTTGTAGGTCCATCCAAGCCCACATGGTCATTTACCCCCGCAATAGCCGTAAACAATGGCTTATATATATAGGCGTTTAGTGTTAACTTGTAAAACTCCCTGAAGAAGTTTACGACAGTTAGACGAAACGTGTTAGAGAATAAAGAAGTTTTACAACTACTGTTCGCACAGCGCTGCTCACTAGTTTACTTTTAAATTTTTTTACATATCGTTTAAAAAATTATTTAAAAACACATTGAAAAAAAATTAATAAAAGTTTAAGTCGGAGCTATTCCTGTCAGCGGTGAAATACAGGAAGCTCCGCCTGAACTGACTAAAAAACAAAAAAATTTGTTTGACCTTTGGCGCCAACGATAGACAGCTAACACAGTCCATGTTGATACTGCTTTGGAGAGAACATCTTTATTAATTTGATGGCCCCAAGGGTGCTAATCTGCCTCAAAAATTGCCATGCTTCACGTCCGAAGTGTTAACATTAGACATTTCAGCCGACAGATTTTTGTCGAGATCGTTGACAGCTTAGAAATTTTTTTTTTTTCAACTGGTTTAGCTCAGTAAAAACGAATCAAAGATATGGCGGTGATGATGAAGATTGTGCTTCTTGCCGATTTGCACGTAAAACAAACTTTCAATCGGCCCAGGAGAGCTACACTCGGCGTGATTGAAGGTGAAATACAAACGGCTACAGCAGAAGTCACATTCATGAATCCTGAGGTTACCAGCAAAGTAGACATGGAGGGAAGTGTCTGTGAAGTTCTTCATGAACTCGTAGTTCTGTGCAAAGGAAATGATTCTGGTGGGTAGATACAGTTACAAAATCCAAGAATTAGTTTGTCTTGTACCTATTTATCTTTCGCCACAAAAATGGGAGACCTAATTACAATTAAACTCAAAAACCATCTTCAAGGCAGTTAATGATACAATTCCATGATTAATAGTAAAGTTCTCACAAATCCATTCATAAATCACTCGGTCCTAATAACTCTTTGCTCCTTAACAAAATAATAGTAACCTCTTGATGCTAAAGACAAAAATTGCGAGGACTTCCCCGGTCTCCTTCGATTTTGTCGCGTCTATCACGGCCAGGTGCCCCGGGAGATCCCAGCATGTCATGCATCCCAGGAATACCGTTTGTCCCTGTTTGTCCGCCATAACATTGTGAAAAAGACTGTGATGGAAACAAAAATATAACAACCAAACATTTGGTCACTCCATCAGGTACTGGTAAACACAAAGGACAAGTGCGGTGTTAAAAAATGAAAATATGAAATGCAGAAGCAAAACAGGAAAAAATCATTCCAGCGGATTCCTCTGCTGAAATGGCCATGCAACTACAACAGAAGTACGAAGTAAATAAGCTCCTGGAAGGCGACTGAATTTGAGAGCGGACAACCAGCCTAGGGATAGATCCGGAGAACAGTTAAGAGACAGCCGAATAAAGGCTGACTACAAAGAAAAATAGGATTCTTCTCCTTGACGCTACTAGACACCCTTATTGTTGTTAACAGCTGAATCAACGATAGTTTCTGTTTGAAAGAAAGGATATATATTTGCTTACTGAATACCTCGTCCAATCAAGTTTGTGCACTAACAGGCGTGTTAAGTAGTCTGGATTTTATTTCAAAAAATCATCTCTTTTTGCTGAAATAGCCACTTCAATCAATCAATGCAGCCAGTTTCCACTGAGAAGCTGGTTGTCGACCTTTGCAAGACACCTGATGATCCCAAAGAAAATTGAAAAATTTTCAATATCACCTCAAACTTTTTTTTGGAGTGAATATACTATTGAACTCAGAGAGAATGCTCAACTAGAAAAAAAATACAAAAGCTTACATTACAGATGAGGATATTCCATTGTTTCTCCTGATATTCTGTCATTCTGGGTTCTACAAATACAAAAGGTTTTTTCTCATAATAATGACAAAAAACGTGATAACAACGATAGTAATTTCTCAAGTGGAGTGTTTCAGTTATAGAAACTAATTGTAAAATTAAGTTCATACAATGGTATTTGGCTATAGTCTTTCGGTAATCTCTCGGCAAAAGTTTTCTAGTGTTAGCATCATTTCAACATCATTTCTTTCCTTTGAACTTTACAAAATACAGATTTCACATTGAACAAATGCTTTGAATCAATTCAAAATTATTCTTCAGAGTACATGCAATGTACATAGTAAAGCGATATGACGTTTTACGATTTGAGCGACGATATGCGCTTACATCTTTTGTTCCTTTGGAATACGTCACAAAGCATAAGTATGTCAAGGTCCAAGACTGGTAACGAGTAGTATTGACCTCTCCTTTTCCCTTGCTGTCTACTATTGACCGTTATCAAAGAAATCTCAATAACTCAGACGAGGGGCTAACGTCAGCTTTTTTACTCTTTACGGTGGCCAATTTACGTTTCAACTCAGTTGTTAACACTAAATTATCTCGCGGCACTGCCGCTGAAAATTTACCACCAGGAATTAGCTTCCTCATTCCTTTTCCTATACCGAGTCTCGCAACTTCTAAGAGTTAACCATATTCAATTTGATAAATGAACGTTTCGTTCCTCTCATTTTGGTCTCACGCGGTACTCAACACCGAAATTGAACTCAGCTAAAATTCGAACGCGCTTATTTTTTCTCAACTCAGTTGATCAAGGCTAAATTAATCTTGTTTTCGAAATAACTTCTTTTCTCAGAGCTGAATTTTTTATTAATTTCTAATCAGCAGAGTAAAAAAGCCCGAAGAAAGTAATCTGACTCCAGATGAGCCGCTCCGAAGACTCAAACACTTAGGAAAGAGAGTTAGAAAACATTTTTTTTCTTGTCACTCACCACTTTTTCTTGCGCAAATCAGTAGTCAGTGGTAAAACAAGTAAATAAGTAAATTGGTTGGCTACGTAGGAATATTGAGAGGTAGGCAGTCTAAACTGCATTTTAAATTACACGCCTAATAAGATACATGAAAAAATTTTTCAGTTCTGATTGGTTAAGATAAATGCAGTTTTCAGGTAATTCAATGCAAAAGAGGGTTAATTCAGTGCAAAGAAGTAACAAACCAGACTAAACAATTCACTGAACAGGAACTGAACAAATTATATTTTCAGATCTACTGAGAATAATTCGCTGATTCAAACAGTAAAATGCTTTATCTTCAAAGAAAAAATTTCTTTAAGTTGTCCTAGGAGAGTATAATCTTTTGGTTTTCCGAAGATTTACCGATCACATCTACTAAGATAATTCTGTAAGGAAAAGTTTGGTTTTCAATCACGAGCCATCATGAAATGATTATGAGATGTTTTGCGTATTCTGACGGTTTCACGGCAAGGATTGAAAAAATGACATTTTAGTTTAGGCACTAAATGATTTGTTTTAAAGGCATTCTTCTTCCTTCAGTGTTTGATGCGCCATATAATCTCCAGTAGTGCTTCGCCACATAATCTCCAGTAGTACTTCGGACTACGAAGATGCTCTTAAATAAATAATAAGTGACATCGGGTCAAATTGGGTGAAGTTCGGCATTTTATTGTTACCATCACTCACTCATTTCGATAACATATGTGGCTTCGATTGCATCAGGTTGATTTTTTCCTCGGCAGCTATGAGCAACATGAAGAAATCCGGAATGAGAATTGACAGCGCAGTAAATTGAGTTTCAAAGGCATGACCATTAGTAAATACAGTTTTTCTCCCCTTTCTACGGATCCTTTCGTCTATTTGATTCTACTTTTATTTTTTGTAACAATGTCATCTAATAATTAATCATGTTGAAAGACCTTGAATTTCCTTCTAAGGTTGTCGTGGAAACTTTCGTGGAGACTTTTTTTCGGAGTTAAGTGTTTTGAGCTTTTGGGTATGGTTTGCTTATCGAAACTTTTTTCGGTTTTTGTTTCTTCTAGAATTTGCGAATTTTCAAAATTGTGAGTTCGAGTGCAAAAACAAATCTGAGGTCCTGTTTTACGGATTTCTTACATAATGTTTCCTAAGTATTTCTTTTAAGTCTCTTTCAAGGTGAAACGAAATTCCGAACGAAGTTATTCCTTACATACAAGGTGTTACTGAAACCACCAAGAGAATTCTGAATAACCACAACGTTAAAGTTGCTCAAAAACCTTTTCAGACTTTGGGGCATATTTTCGCCAAACCTAAGGATCCTGTCACGAAAGAACAACGAACTTAGCGACTGTGACAACGTTCGCAGACCAAACGCCAGTTTGGTAAAAAAAGTCAATTATAAATTGTATAATATTTCCTCGTAATTCTGCTTGCTATTCTTACAAAACAAAACATTGTTTTCATGTACTACCGTGACGATCCTCACGCTTATTTACACCTCGTCAGAAAAAAAAGTAATTAGATCACAATTGTTGCAGCGTTTACATTGAAGCGCAGTAGTGTCGAAACGTTCGCGGATCGGGTTACATTCATTAAATCTGCAAACCAGTGTAGCATCAAACTATGTCTCGCGCTTTAGAGTTAAACAGCCACTCATCTAAATACAAAGGCTATGTCGCTTATCGATGGCGCTGATCCTACAAACTGACTTTATCAACACTAGCGCAACTTCAAATTCACTCCGTCGAGGATGGAAATAGGGAAGAAAAAAAACAGCAAGAGTTTAAAGTAAGACTAATGCTTTTTTAATTCAGGCTACAACATACGAACTCTAACTCAGCCACACCAAAACCAAAACCCTATCTTACATTGGTAAAAATCTCACAAAGTATGGAATTTCATCGTTTATCACATGCTATAAAATACAACATTTTGTGAATGCAGCTTTTTCACGCCAAAAAAAAAATGTCGCATCGATCGTACATGTAGCTGGGTACTTCAAACAGTTGTGGACCCAATCCGTTAAAAAATTATTAAAAAAACCTTCTTTGTAATTTAACTTGTTATACCAACACTCGAATATACGATAACATTATAAGTGAGACTCTATATGGTATGCTTCAGAAACTGCTACATCTGTGCAGAGGAGTTTCAACAACCGACAATCCTATCCGGCGATAAATTAAGCCTTTTTCGCTTGGGCTTGCTTAATCATCTCTAAATTATCAGCAGCTTGAAAGAACTTCTCAAAAAAGATGTCAAGCTGTAGGCACCAGCTGTGTTGTTGATCTGGCTGCAGATCCACTTGACTGGGATCACCTTGGATTCCAAGACTTGGGCTTTGAACCTCTGCTGCAAAACACAACGAACGCTATTTACGATAAACATAACATAGAAAAGTCTCTCAAAAGCTCAAACCTATCAAAATCAATAGAAATATCCTCCAAAATCCAATGGAAGGGGACTCCTAACTCGATTTTGTGTGTAATAGTGGCATGAAGGGCTTACAACCAAATGGATCAAAGACCCCTACCCCATTAATGATAACACTGTTTATTCAAAGGCAAGACAGAGAGGTGGAACCATTCCTGTCCAGAAGAAGGTCCATTGGTGAGTTTAATGAAGTAGTTTCCCCGTGGGCTCCAAATCAAAGATCAGGATGCCTACATATCAAGCAGTAGACCAATACTACCCACCCCACCCCCTTTCACGAGCATAACCAGGATCTATAAGAAAATTGGCGAGCCAGTCCGTTGTGAGTTAACTTTCTGTACTTTTTCATGCTGCTTTCACTGTTCAGTAGATTACAGAGGGACAAAATGTAAGATAAATAGTCTTGCATTACAACACAAAAGAAATTATGACCTTGGCTGGACTCAAACCCAGACCTCTAAATCAAAAGTCTAGTATACTTATCATAAGACTGTCCCACCCCTAAAAATTGTATTTTATTGTTTCTCTGTTGATTACCAAGGAGCCTCGTGCATTTTTTATTTAGCCCTAAGTGATCAAGGAAATGGTAATTTTAAACATCACGAAGTTGACCTGTTCAAACGTTAACAACATTAAATCTCCTGTCACTGCCTTTGTCTAACTTACAAACAATGCCCCTACAAATCTGGGCAAACAGCCAAAGACAAGAGGGAACCTACCAAGGTTGTCAGCTTCCCCTTCCTCAAATTCTCCCATCTCAGAGGATGGATGGGCTGCATTTGCACTGGAAGAAACTGAATGGATTCTCTTGCTGCCTTCTTGAGAGTTTGGAAGAAGATCAGTACTTTTTGCTAGAAAACAAACATCAACAATGAGAAGATATTTTTCTTGCAAAAAAGCTGTTCCATTACCACATAAAAATGAGGAAGTGAAGAAAAAGGGTAAATATAAAGGGACTTTGTCAACAAAATGATGATGGTCCTTCATATGTACTTTTCATTGCAAAAACATACTGGCACCTGAAAAGCATTCATATTCATCAACAAAACCAAATCACTCCATGGATATACTGTACATATGGTAGATAACCACAATTAGTTGCATGTGGTGAATAAAAGAACTTTTCTGAGCTCACTAGGTCTTATTGTTTAATTGGCTGTTTGGTTGACAACATTTTAATTTGCAGTCAACTGCCTCTTCACTCCACTGATTTATGGGTGACTGAAAAGTGCAAGAAATAAGATATAAATGTATCTAAGACCAAGATTCTTCTATCCTATTATTCAAAGAGACCAAACCATAACATATCTTAGCTTACCAGAGGTAGTGTGTGCTGCAACAGCCTCTCTGCTCTTTGTGGGTGAGTCAGCTGATGGAAGATGAGGAAGCTTTGCTTCTGATGCTCCAGACATGACCCTGGACACACGATCAGGAGACTCTCCTCCTCCTGGCGTCACAGTAGCTGAGTTAACAGTTTGATACTGATCTGGTGAAGATGTAGATAAAAACTGATAAGTGATAAGTATGGGAGACTGTATATTAACCCAAATAAATTACTTATGACCCCTTTGGTGCTTAAAATTTGTTTATAATCTTAGGTGAGGTCTATCTATGAAGACAACAAAAATTCAAGTTCCTTGGATTTAATTAAACACATGTATGCTGAGCCCTTCTTTGTCCATCATACAGTTTACAAATCAATAAGTTTAAATATGAACTGAGGGGGAGGAGAGGGAGAGGAGAAGAAGACAGGATGGCAGGTTTTAAAGAAGAAGGATAAGAACCAAGATTTGAAGGTCCCAGATCACAAGAGCAGGAAGGAAATGTCTGCCACATACAATAGGTAAGAAGATTCAAGTAGTGTGAAAAATTAATCACATAAAAATTCCTAGTTCCACATTTTGAAACCCTCAAAATTCATTTTGGGCCTTTCTAAACTCCACTTGAATGTTTCAAAACATGACTTAAGCCTCAATCCTCAGGGAATTAAGAATTGAAGATTGAGGATTGGGTTTCCAGCGACTCTCAACTTAATTTTGAGCATGACCGTATCTCTCAAAGAAAAGAAAGGGGAAAAGAAACAGGAAAGGACTAGTGTTACATGTATGAATCTGATTAAATCTGATTATAAGAACAAGAGGAGGCTAAACAAAACGTTAATTTTTAAGACTTTTTTACTCCCAGCCTCCCATCCTTGTGTGTTAAACAGTCAGCATGATCCTATACTAACCTTCATCTGGACTTTCCAGACCAGGCTTTGAAGTTGCGGGTGTAAAACTTGCAGGACTCTGTGATCTTGAAGATGGAAGAGGGGTGGCTTTAGGTGAGAGATGCCCTTTCAGGACAGCCTCCGTAACATAGACTGTGGCACAGTCAATAAGGGCTTCAAAAAACTCCAAGAATGTCATCTCTAGCTCCAGATTACAGAAATCATCTTGCGCCAGTTCTGGGTTATCCTTTGCAAGGATCTGCAACACTTCCCTTGGATTCAGGTCAGAGTTAATTATTCGAAAGTCACTAAGCATGAACATGAATTGTCTGGATCTGAAAATTGGTTCATGAGGGTAGTGTGTGTTTGGCACACATAACCCGCAATAAATGTCCCAGCTTCGTGGCATGTATTTAATGGCTTCAATTGCTCTTGTTGGATCCTGAAACAAGCTTCCACCAACTTTACAAGGATTTTTGAGGATGTTCTCAGTGATAAGCTGTGAAACACACCAGGGAAGCAGCGGTTCCGGTCCATGGTGTTCATCACTGTAGATATGGTAGGCAATGATAATGATCGCATTTAAAAACTCTCGCATCAGGACCTCATGCTGTGGCTCATGTAAATCAATGGATTTGTCAGATGCCACTGTGCGATCTAATTCTGATATTGTAAACCCACAGTGATGGACTTTGCAGTCCTTCAAGAAACGCCAGAACTGGAGCCTACTCATGACAAATGTGTTATCAACAGAATCCTGTCTGCCAAGAAAAGAGTAGAAACTGTAAATCTTCTTCAGTTTGCTGACGTGTCGCAGGAGGACATGGGTGACTTGTTGAAGTTCCTCTTCACGCTCATACAGATCAAGATCTCTCTCATCCAGAAGAAGATCAATGCTCAAGTTGAGTGGATTTCCAGAGTTTTCTTGGGTCATAAAGGGTGATGCAGATCGCACTGGGGTACCAGATCGTACAGGAAGTCCTGAGTTCATGATATCAGGAGTCATCATGCCAGATGGGTTTAGTTCAGGGAAGTCCACCATGTGATCCATTTCAAACTTACCTGAAATTCAAAGAGGAAATTGTCATATTCAATGACATGTACACTGTAGCTTACTCCTAACCCAGAAAACAATTAGCAATTCGGGGGGTTTCAATAAATAGAGATTATTCCATGGAAAGTGAGCATGATCAATTTTATTCATGAGTCGCAATGCATCAAAAAAAAGCATTGCACGAAAAGAACAACAACAACAACAAATGAAACCAAAAGATTATAATTTTCTAAATTTGTCAATTTAAGTATGGACATCAACATAAGTAACCTCTCACATCAAAATGTTCAGCAGCTGTCTATACAATAGTCTTTTAAATTTACACTTAGGTAGAGAATGAAGACAGATGAGAAGTTCAAGCAATTTCCATGGTATGGTGTTTTTATTTCATACCTACTAAGATTTTTTCACATTTCAATTCAAAGAAAAGTGAACAACTGGGAAAATACATTGTTCGTCCAATCAAAGACACAAACATTAGTACTTTACATTGTAAATCTCAGTATGTATGAATAAAAGCCAGTACCAGACTGGTCTACACTGCTCACTGCCATCTGTTTAGCCTGAAAGTAGGCTCTTGTGTTTGAATTTTTCCTTGCGGCTCCTTTCCAGACACAGCTCCCTATTACACCATCAGCAACCCTGCCAAACCCTTGCCATTCCAGAGACTTTGACCTCAGCAAAAACTGCACACTAATTTTCCCATATAGTAATACAGATTGAAACACTTTGAATTTGTTTTCATAACAGTTGAAGCTATTTTGCCCTTAGATTTTGTACCCTGTGTATATTATGGAAAGTCTGGTGGAAAGTCTACCCAATATGATTGTCAATTGCTGGGCATTCAAGGCAATAAGCAAACAACATTCCCTAAACAGGTACACTAGATAGATGACTTTGTGACCCTAAGTTGGCTTGGTAGCTCAGACAATTAGAGCACTGCAGCATTATCTCAAGACAATTGTGGGTCTCAGCTCACAGCCCGATAAATAAGATGGCTGAAGTAATCTTAAATGAACTTCTTACCTTCGAAAACCAAGCCATTCTTGAATACATACTTGCCCTGACCATCTTTCATGTTTTCCACCCAATCTCCCACATACTTAGCACCTGTGGCATAGTAAAATGTACCAGGCCCATGCCTCAATCCATTCACCCATTCCCCCACATAATAATTCCGCAGTGGGTACTGAGATCCAGGAATACGCTTCAGATACCAAGAATGTTCTCCCTGACCATGCTGTACCCCATTCTTCCACTCTCCTTCGTATCGCTCATTCTTGTTGTACCAGTGCATCGTTCCTGTACCGTGCCTTACATTGTCCTTCCAATCTCCTTTGTATATGTTCCCCGATGCATACCTCCTCATACCAAACCCGTGGCGCTTGTTATCTACCCAATGCCCGTCATAATAGGACAGGCCTTCCTTGTCATAGCGCAGAATACCTTCTCCCGAGCGTTTGCCGTATTTCCATTCCCCAGTGTATGAAGAAGGAATTGTACCACAAACGTACGTGCCTTGACCATGTCTTAAGCCGCTGTTAACTTCGCCATCGTATGTGCTCTCATCAGTCCAAGTGTACACACCTCTTCCTTCAATGACATTGTTCTTAAACTCTCCATCGTATTTAATACCATTCGCCCATATGTATTGTCCTGTGCCGTGCATTAGCCCGTTCACAAAAGAACCAGAGTAAACATGATTGCCTCGGAAAAATGCAGTTCCAATACCATGGAAAAATCCTCGCTCATCTTTCTCTCCAAGATACGACTCCACGATCAAGCTGGTGAGATAAGGTTCATTTCGCATAGCATCGTAAGGTTCTTTCGATTTGTTTTCGTCAGCAGCTGGCTCCTTTTCCTCCGTTTTCGTTTCTCCATCCTGCTCTTTATCTATTCCACCTTCCTCTTGCTCTGGTTCTTTCGTTTCATCCTGGTTAATTTCTGGCGTAGGTTCAGGCATTTTAGACCATAAATTTGTTACCTTCGAGACCGACCAGTGTTTCAATATCCCGGATAAATAAACTGTTGTTATAACAACTGGCTTAAGAATCAACATGGTACGCGGGCGCAGTTATTCAACAGCTGCATGTTAAACATGCAAATGGCGGCCTGCACAAGCTAGAGACATATTGGACTTCCGTGAATTTAGCTGCGATCATGGGCCGAAAATCGAACTGTTGTGGCTTATCGTGGTTTGTAAACGATGGAATCGGCATTGGATGTGCGGTTTTTACATATTTACTCATAGCGTATGCCGAGTTTGTGGTTGTATTTGTGATGCTACTGCCTGAGGTTGTAACTTCAGCTGCGATCGGGGTTTTCCACGCCATCGCTTTTACTCTGTTGGCGGGTCTTGCGCTTGTTGCCCACAGTCGAGCGATGTGCAGTGATCCAGTAAGTCTCTGCGGCTGTAGTTTTACTGTTTCTCCAGTATTTAGTTTATGTGCCTCACTGAGCTTTATAGGTATGACAGCGTGTTTACTTTAAGTTTAAATTAATTCATTGAAGTCACTATTGTGAGATAGGATTTTTTTTGGAATTAACACGTCTGTTTTAGACTAATAGAAATTCACCTCTTTTTTGCACAATCTGGATTTTTTTACTTGTTATTCCTTCCTTTGTTGAGTAGATTTTTGTCAATGTAAACAAGCAAGTTCCTGCTAACATTAGCCAGTTAACAATGTTTTTGATAGACCTTTCGCGGTTTCATTCATTCTTAGACATTGATCAGTAAACTTGAGTGGAAGTTAATCGGTATTGCCGGAAAGAGCACTACAAAAGCAATATCAGAACAAAATTTTTCGAGTGATTTATTAGAAAACTTTTAGAAGATATAGCTGCTTTAAGTCTAAAAGTTTTATCAAGTTTGTATTGGTTGGAGGAAACATGTGTCCCACCAGACTACTTTAGGACTTTTCAGAGTCATCTTTGTTAGATATCAACTAATTGCAGTCATACTGGAAAGTTTTATCAATTTTAGGGAGCTCAGTTAACTATGTTGATGGATTTCTGTTAAGTAATCCCTGTCAAATAATGGAAAAAATAAATGTTACATGGTTACATAATAATCTTAAATGTGTTTACATTCACCAAAGAACGTCAAACAAGTCTTTTTTTTCTTCATCAGAAGTTTCTTTTAATTAAATCTTGATTCTCAAAATTAATATCTTGGAGTCTTTGATCAGACATCAGAAATATCCTACACACTTGTAACTTGTATGTTTGTATATTTCTGTAGGGTACCATCCCTTTAGGAAATTGCACTACAGAAAACTTGAAGAAGCTTCAATTAAAAGAGGGAGAAGTAGTTCTAAGATGCACTAGATGTGAGTGTATCAAGCTTGATCGAGCTCACCACTGTAGGTATGAGTATTTGGCAACTTTGGTGCCAGTTAATATTAGGCCTTTCTAGAAATACCTTACTGTGTCATGATATTTGTTAATTTGCAAAGAGTTTCTGAGATATTTGACAAGCAGGGGATGCTTAGAAATATTACAAGCATTGTTTTCTGTGCTGTTTTCTGTGCCATTTTCTTGAAACATTAAGACATATCTGTGTTAGAACCAGAGTGTTTTGAACAGATTATTTCAACCAAAGATTGTATTCCATATCATCAGACAGTTAGAGGAGGATACTGATAATATCAGTCAGTCCTGGAGTTGTTTTTGTCCTTATTTCCACAAAACTGCTGTGTTGTCGACAGATAAAATTTGGGCTCAAGCAATTCCAAATTGCAAGATGTGAAGACAGTTTTTGTGATATTAAGAAAAGTTTTTGAGCACCTCTGAAAAGACAATCAAGTGATTTTTCATGTTCTCCAGAAAGTACATACTAATATTAAATGACTATATTGAATAATATACTGACCTTTTGGTCTGCTTTCTATTTTTGGTAACTACAGCACTTGTCAGAGATGTATTAGGTAAGTCCTTTATTTTAGTCAGTTTTATCAACCCTTTTCTCCCCTCTAGCTGCTACACAGTTCCTTGTAAATTAGTTTTGAGAATTTGGTGTTAGATTGAGATAAAAACTTTTTCCTGACAAGTCTGAGTATTCTGCTTACCTGTTTGCTGGATAATGTATGATATTATAGGGAAAAGTTGCTTGTCAATCTCTTCTGGGAGTTAAAGGGTTAACTTATGAATAAAGGGGGCAAGTTTCTAAAGAAACTGTGGTGCTGTGTCTGTGGGAGAGTATAACAGGGTAATTTAGTATTATCAACTGAGTTGATAACGTAAATTGGCCACTGTTAAGAGTTTGAAAGCTAATGGAGGAATTGTGGGTTGTGTGTGTCTATACATGTATGCAGAAAATGGAGGTACACTATCAGTGGGAATATGGTGACCAGAAAAGATGAATAAATTAGTTGGATGAAAAGAGTGCCGATTTGAATGATAAAATTTTGTCCTAATGTTTTGCAGCTTTCCAATTGGCCTAGATGTAGGAAAAGGTCACAACCTGAAATATAGTGCTTAGAATGATAAGGGGGATTAAAGTGATTGGAGATTGGATTAGGTGTGTCCTTGTCATTTTTTTCTATATCAGGAAGGTAGAAAGAAAAAGACAAAGATGTTGCCAATTTACGTTATCAACTCAGTTGATAATACCAAATTACCTCATTAAGTTATGATCTCATTTAGTGAAGACTAGAATGTTAGAGAAGCAAAGAGGAGCAAAAAAGACCCCAATAATAACATTAAGACTGGTTTGCTTCTGGGATCTAAAGAGCCAAAGTCAGCTACTGGATTTGATCTGTTGCATGTCTTGTGGGGGGAAGATACTGATTTTAGTTTCTTTCATTAGCAAAATCAATCATGACTAAGAAAGAAGGAATGGAGATGACTGTAGATTTTGCTTTGACTGTGAGCAACTTAGTACAAACACATTTGCAGCTAAATTTTTCAAAATGAATGAATTGGAATCCACATTGGTCCCTCCATGGGTATGTTGTAACTCCTTTGAGATCCTTGGTGATCTCTGGAGAAGGGTTAGGCCAAGTTTGTAAGAGCTTAGATATGCCTCTGTAAATGAAAAGTTCATGGGGAAAAATAGCAGTGAAGTATTCAAAGAAGGTTTACTTTTTTTCTTATGTTTCTCAGGAAAATGGATCACCACTGTCCATGGTATGCTAAGTCTTAAGCAAATTTATCAAAATTTTAACTTATATATATTCATGTACATTGAATTTGGTGGGTTATATGCATCCACATTTAACCACTAATAAAGTGGAGAGTGAAGGGGCCTGTACACAGTATACATCATTTGCAAAGACAATTAGATTCATACTCTCCAAGAAAAAAATCAAATGTTGTGTTATCATTAATGAAATTAACATTAATGCATTTACCTAAAGAGCATTTTGTCTCTTAAAGTTTGTCATAGTTTTGGCTAATTGGTAACAGAAGTTTTGGGCCGTCCAACTCTGTCTATGGCAAAACAAGGGACTAACAAATCAGAGTCCAGTGTAGACTCCATTTGATCCTATGACCTTTTTTTTTAATATCCTAAATTAACATGATTGGCATAGAGGGCATGTGATGTTTCTTTGCATGCATATCCTAGGAAAAAATGATGAAAAATCAATGAATTATGAGTATGTAAGTATTTTTAAATTTCCCCAATGTTAGCATTTTGAACTTGTTCTTCTCTTTATAGGATAAATAATTGTGTGGGGGAAGACAATCAAAAATTCTTTGTATTGTTTACAGTGAGTATGATCCACATTCTTGTCATTTAACCCTTTAACCCTAAGAGGATCTAAGAGCAATTGGAAACTAATTTCTCCTTGGAATATCACCCATGAATCAAACATCAAGAATAAAGGAATTGATCACCAACTAAAGAAGTTCATGATTGTTAAACAAATTCACCTTAACAGCTTTTTAGGAAATGTATGGTGAACAGTATGGAGATTGTGCTTATTGATGTTAGGGTGTTAAGGGGTAAATGTACTTCAAAAATTAATAAAATTGGATGCTGTTAAAGTGATTTGGTGCCCAAAGTCTTATTTCATGTTTTGATTCTTTTTCAGATGTATATTTTTTTGATATCCATATATGCATTGGTTTTGACAATACGACAAATACTTATATGTACAGAAAATGAATGGCATGGTGAGTAATGTGTTACTGCTGTTAGTGACTGCAAGGACCTTCCACTATATCAGAACAGCAGTGAGATTTTTGTCAGACCCACTGGTTGTTAGCCTGTTGTTTGTCTTAAACCATATAAGTGGGACTCCCCATGCTTGTTTTAGAACACCAGCTTCCTGACTTGTAGATACCTGATATAAACCATAGCTCCTTTAGAAAAACCAGGCAAGCACCATCAAGATCACTACTGAACCAGTCAATGTCTTTTTCTATCTCTCTCTGCAGATTGCACCTTTTTACCAGTAGCCTCAGCAATTTTATTGATGATTTTTCTAGTCTTTGAAGGATTACTATTTGGGATTTTCACTCTTGTTATGTTCTGCAGTCAAGTATCCTCAATAGTTAAAGATGAAACGGTAAGGACTCATATACATTAAAAAGATCAGCCAAAGCTACCTATCTACTATCATTCAATAGTAACCTTATTTTTTACCCTAATTATTGTTTTTACAGGGAATAGAACATTTAAAGAAGGAGAGAGTTATCAAAAAGAATTCTGTGTAAGTAACATGTGTTGTGGGATACTTTCCATGTCTTACAATCTGTATTTACTGTCAATTTTTACTCTACTTAACAATTGAATTTGTCATCATATATAGCAATTTTAAATGAGCATTGAAGGTAATCTGGGAATGTATTGATTATGCTCTGCTTTTGGCCACGATTGATTGAAAAAAATCCTCTCAACAAGATACAAAACTTCAAACAATCATGAGTCATGGAATGCAACACATCCAAACAAGTAATGTAGGGGATACATTTGCAAATGTCTCGGCGTTAGCACGGCCTCGGGAATCTGGGAAGAGCATGCATCTCATAAGGGGTGATG